GGCCAAAGAACACACTACGCTTGGAACTGCAAGCAGACATGAAAAGGATGAATAGGAAGTGGAAAGAACTGGAAAAGATTGCCCAGGATAGGGTTTGGGCGGAGAGTGCAGGTGGTCGGCCTACACTCCTTAATGAAGGGTAACAGGCATAAGTAAGTTTGTAGGCACAATGATCATTGAATAATCGCGACGAATTCCCAATTAATTTCTAGTCAATTAAATTTTAAGCTCCTATCAATAAGATGTTCAGTAACTTACTTATTTAAACATATTGTCCCCCATCGGGAAGCATAGGTCGCCCACCAAGATTCTCACACCTACTCTGTCCTATGCTCTCCTTTCCACCTTTTTCTAATTGTTATTTATCATTTCGATGTCTCCCTCCGATTCCCGACGCAATCTTTTCCTTGATCTTCTTCTTTTCCCTTGATTTGAACACTTCAAGTCACTGCTTACCTCGTGTTGCAGTTTGATGATTTTCATGATGTATCTCCTATTCATCTACAAAGTCTTTTCCTGGTCTCCTTTTCAACTAGAAGTTGGTTTTTTGCTCTCCCACAATAGGCTGTTGCTGGTGGTATCCGACCAACGGTTCTAGAGTATTGCGCGTACACAACTGTTGATAAATACTTATACTGTTTTGATGATAGTTGTATTGGTTCTCCAAGTTTTAGTACCATACAGTAGAACTGTTTTTTTACGTTCATATTGAAAATCGTGACATTGATATTGGTTGAGAGACAGTTGTTTTGAGTTGCATATGTTCTTCAACTGTAGAAATGCTGCACTTAATTTGCCAATCTATACCTTCACATCTGCATCAGATCCTCCTTATTCATCGATGATGCTATCTGCGTACGTGAAACTTTCCACCTCTTCTAGAGTTTCTCCATCAAGTGTGATTGGGTTAGTGTTCACCGTGTTGCATTTGAAGATCTCACTTTTTCCCTTGTGTATATTGAGGCCCACCTATGCAGAGGCTGATGCTACACTAGTTGTCTTCACGTGCATTTGTTCATGTGTATGGTACAGAAGAGCTAGGTCATGTGTAAAGTCCAAACCCCACATCGGATTCAAGCTTTCCATTGTATTCCGTACTTTTCCTCAGATATCGAGGTCTTCATAATGCGGTCAACCACCGGAAGAAGGAGAAAGGGAGAGAGTAAGTAGCCTTGTATGACACCGGTCCTTACTTGAAATGCATCTGTCAACTGTCCTTCAATCACTACTTTGCATTGTAGCCCGTCCTATAAATTCCTTATGACGTTGACAATCTCAGGTACACCATAGTGTCAAACAAGGTTTCATAGTGTCATCCTATCCATGCTGTCAAATGCTTTCTCTTGGTCGATGAGTTCGATGTTTAGTGATAAATTCCATTCAATTGACTACTCAACGATCATCCGTAGTGTCGCTATTTGGGCTGTGCACGACCTATCCTTACGGAATCCAGCCTATTGATCTCAACGTTGGGCGTCTACTGAGTCTTTCATCTGGTTCGGCAACGCCATGTTGAATACTTTTCCTGGTACTGACAGTAGTGTGATGCCTCTGTAGTTCTCACGTTTACTCAGATCTCCTTTCTTTAGTATCTTGATGTGGTGTCCTTCTTTCGACTCTGTCTGTGGCACTTATTCCTCCTCCCAAATCTTCTTGAATAGAGTGTGAAGCATGATTGAAGTTGCTTCTATGTCTGAAGCCAATGCTTCGCCTAGTATGTTGTCAGGTCCTGCTGTTTCCCAGCTCTTGATTTGTCTGATGGCCATCCTGATTTCTTCCGTCATTGGTGGAGTGACATCTATTGAAAGGTCTGTGGGTGCTGCTTCGATTTTCCTTCATTTCCATACTAATAACTGTCTGTTCTCGTTCTCTTCTCTTCAATCTTCTTAACCTTCTGCCTCCAGGTATTGCATCTTCAATTGATGATACATACAACTTATATCTGTCGACATCAGCAACACATACCGCACTAGGACTAAACATTGTTCGGCGAGACGATGATCTATGAATGAGCTCTGTACTTCGGTTCGAAATCAATTGATTCATATGGCTAAGTAGAATGTTTGCATTATGTCTGATGTTAGTTTGTGATGACAACACTAACTCTAATTACTAACCCCAACTTTTGAATTGTAATTTTGATTCCGCACAACAATTTATAACCCTCTTTAGACCCTAGTTAGTAGGTGAATTTTCTCATAGGCACTTTGGCTCCACTCAAAGTTTATCCATAAATTAGAATCTCATTTATTATTCACTAAATTGTAACCTATAACACACCTATTGATTACATAATCAATCCAATACATTTGTAGTAAGCCCATTCCACTACTGTATTATTTATCTGCTCACTGTAATTTAGACACTTGATCCACCATGTAATCTATTCTCCCATTGATTGTAATACACAGTCAATCAATAATTTATCCATATTTCATTAACACTCAAAAAATATGCATGGATTTTCAACACACACACACATACACTCTTGGTTTCCCTGTGTGCTTGCTTCGTGTACGCTTGCGGATTTTACCAATCTCTAACGATAAACTATCTCTTTAACTGATGTTCAGTCTTTTGAATAATCTGGAGTAAATCTATAATTCTACTAAGAGATTTAGCCTACCTTAAATACTCAGTTAACGAAATACTATTTGTTGGAGTCAGACATAGAGGATACTAACCTCTACAAATTACAAATTTACTGACATTACAAAAGATATAGTATACAGGAAATACTTCAGATATATATGTCAATGCAAAAAAACCATTAACTCTCCCTCTCTTCCACACACACACACACACAAACAAACAAAGTGATAATGGTAATAATAATTATTATTATTATGGATATCGGATCAGCGGTCTAGAGGTTAGGCGTTCGCGCATGAGGCCAATAGGTCCCGAGTTCGAATCTTGTGAGGCGGGATCGTGCATGCACACTGTTGAGAAGTCTCATACTAGGACGAAACGGCCATTCAATGCTTCCATGATGATCTAGCTTCAATCGACCCATGAATTCAACTATTAAATTACTATTATATCCACAAAACCCCTCTCTGATTATAATCATCATATGTTCATTAGTGACAGTCTCCAATAAGTATTTCTTGGAGTTCTAGTGTGTTATGTTCGTTAACTTGAATGCTACTACTGATTCGCCTTACTCGGAAAGGAACGAAGAATTAAGGATTCAGAGACTCCATAGGCTATACTAATCCGTTGTCCCCGACTCAGATAACTTGATCCAGAAGTCTTGGTAAGATGTTAAAAGTGTATTCTACAGACAACCAGAAGATACCAGGTTCATCAAGCACACAAATCAAGCATATTTATACAAAATATATATAATCGATATTGCCATGGAAGTTTTTAAACATTTATTCTATAAGTTCGTCAATCGACTATGTGCGTGGGTGGTAAGAAATACCCAAGCTACGCAAAGATAAAATTACAAAATATGAGTTTTAGGGATCTAACGTCCCCAACATAGTAAGAAATTTTGAGATAATTAAAATAACCCATAGTGTCATTGAATAAGAAAAAGAGAATTCAGCGAAGAAAATTTTCTTTTCGACGAAATCATTTACTTAAGCTGTACATTCGTATATATAGTTATATGGAAAATGTATGTCTATAGAAGGATAGAAAGGATTGTATCACGAAAAATGGATTCGACCAGAAGAGTTCAACCGAGTCTGTTGTGAGATAGTAACTCACTGAAGACAATAGTGAACGGTGGATCAATTTCGTGGATTAATTAAAGTTATACATTATAACCGTTACAATACCGGCCAGCTCAGTAGTTTAGAGGTCAAGTATTCACTCAAGAGACCGAATGTCCTAAGTTCTGATTGTAGATGTGCACTTCTGAGGAGTCCCATACTAATATGAAACCGTCATCCAGTGCTGCCATGTTTTCCATAGTGATCTTACTTCAATCAACACATGAATTCAACAATTAAATTAATATAAGTTATTAATATCAGATGGGTTTTATGGAGATTGTAGTAATTTCAATGGTTAAGATCATGAGTCAGTTGGAGCTAGACCACCATGGGAAACCTGGAAGCACTGGACAGCCGTTTCGTCCTTTTGTGGGACTCCTCAGCACTGGGTATTCACGACCTTGCCCCCCCCCCGCGAGATTCGAACCCAGGACCTACTGGTTTCGTGCGTGAGCACTTAACCACTAGACCACTGAGCTGGCCGGCATCCAACGGTGTTAATGTCCTGGGTTCGAATCTCGCAGGGGGCGAGGTCGTGAATGAGCACTGCTGAAGAGTCCCACAATAGGACGAAGCGGCCATCCATTGCTTCCAGGTTTTTCATGGTGGTCTAGCCTCAATTGACTCATGATCTCAACTATTGAAATATAAGTTATCGTTTACTTTTTAAAATAAATATATTTATATATAATTATAGTTTAATTATTTAATTGTTTTACTTCATTACTCATAGAATGAATGCATGCATCAAATTACTAATTAATTACTTGTTTGTTTGTTTGAATTTCCTCTTTAAAATATATATATCATTATTCAATAAATAAGCTTTCAATAGAATGAATTAAAACAAACATGGAAAAAGAAGAGAGGGAAATATTCCAAATTCAAATTTGTGCGCTACATTTTTAAAAAAAAACAAAAAAAAGATAATCCATTGAATATATAGAAAGATGATGAACTTGTTACTAGGCCATATCGTTTATAATTGCTTGTCTTAATCTATTTCATTATTCCAAATGAATGAGTACTGTAACCATTGAAGATAGAGATCAAGAATAGTAAATGAGCTCTGCTCTCTCCCTCCCTCCCTCTCTCTGTCTCTCTATGTATATATATATTTTAAACAACTATTATTGATTTATAGATAGTTAAAAGAAAAGAAAAAGAAAAAAGAAAAAAACAAACAACAACAAAGCAATCAATATTTGAGAGAATATAATTATGTAATCGAATAAATCATTCTATAATATTTTATATGATAATATTGATTATTGATTGATTGATTGATTGATTGATTATTGTATTTATCTAGCTTCTGTAGGACGTGATATAACTGGACCAAAAAACATTCTATATGGACTATGTGGATCTTCACTAAGAAAAAATTCATTCCATGCTGTAAGAAATTCATCACTACTAATTTTACCATCTTTATCACTATCCAATATCTATCATTGTAGATAATAAAAAAAAGAGAAAAAAAGGAGAAAAAAATGATTCAATGAGAAAATATCTGACATGTTATCAAGATAACATACTTACTTACTTAGATACTTATTTACGCCTGTTACTCCTGGTGGAGGAGTATGAGCTGTCAAGCAGCATTGTCCATCCAACCCTGTCCTGAGCAATCTTATCCAATTCTTTCCAGTTGTTATTCATTCTTTTCATATTTGATTCTATTTTGTGGCATAAAGTGTTCTTTCGTTTTCCTCTTTTCCGATTCACTTCAGGATTCGAAGTAGGATAATATGAACTTATTCAAGGGATTGATGAATTTTAGGTGGTTTATGTATGTGTCACTTAATATCACAGTAAGTGAAAGTATTACAGATGTATAGGGATTGTGGAGATTATTAAGTTTTTGATTGAGATCATGAATTGCCGTAACCAGTGAAGCTAATCCGTTTCGGGTAGAGACAGTTATCTACCTCAGTACAATGGAAGATGGTCGCGCAATTTCGTGGATTGGTTGCTGGTATACACTAACACCATTCAATACTGGCTCAGTTGTCCAGTAGGTTAAGCGTTCGTACGCAAGACTGGAGGCTCTAGGTTCGGATCCCGTGGGCGTGATCGTGGATGCACACTTCTGAGGAGTTACGGAAGGATTGTCACTGGCTCTTATTCTGAACCATATCTGATAACGTCTCTAGCCACTGTGTTGCATCATCTCTAGGAACCCAACCAAGGAGTCGTGAAGGACCAACGGAAGCCAATCCTGTTCAGCTTTATTTCATAACACGACATCATGTCATACACTAACCACCTCTCCCATTTTTCCAACCAGTCCCAGAGTCGGCAAATAATGCACGATGTGGAATTCTCTGCAATGACATTCGTAGAAAATGTCCATGCCACTGAAGTCGATGTTTCAAGATAGTGACACCAATTGGATTATCATCTCTGTGCCCGAACACACGATGCTGAACCTCTGCATTACCAACATGGTATTGTCACTGGATGTCAGTAATCCTTCGGAGACAACGATGATTAAACACAGAGAGTCATCTAACATCTTCAACTCAGAGAGTTCAGGTCTCACTGGCATAGAGTAAAACTGCTCTCACCGACGTGTTGTAGATCCGACCTTTTACAGCCAAACTAACAACAAGAAGGCGCCTATGATAGTCAAGAATGGCACAATCCGCTCTGGCTTTCACTGTATGTGTATTGATCTCATCACTCACGCCACCACTAGCACTTACTCGGTTACCCAGATACATGAACTTCTGGACTACATCTATCGGCTCACTACCCAGGGTGAGTTCAGGTTCAGGAGCCTGTCAATCTTGTATAAGTACTTTGCACTTCGAATGTGCAAACCACATACCATACCTACGGACACTGACTACTAACTCATTACTTGGCGGCCTGCTTGAATATCTGGGCTACCTGCTCCTCCGGTCTAGATATTTCATCAAGTTATCTGTTTTGTTGTTTGTTTTAGCACATCATTATGTCTATTGTGCGCACAATTTATTCAGGTGCGTTTATGAAAAGTTTACAACCTTTCGCTATACGTGATACAAAAAGGTACAATCAGCGACATCATGGTGGCTGGCAATATGCATTGAAACGAATGAACATTAATCAAATGTGGATTATCGAACTCCTAACATCTAACCGGTCATCATTCAAAATTTATCGTCACAATAGATCAAGGTTTAAGAAAAGGAAACTTGTTGAAATACTTTGTGCTGAGAATTCTATGTTGTACCAAAAATATGATGTTGAATAAAGCTTCTAATAATAAAAAAATAAAAAAAGTGGGGATTTCATGGCATGGGTACCATTCACACAGTAAGACAATATCATCCGCATACTCTAGGTTGAGTTTTTCTCCGGGCAACAGATTCACACCACCATTACGTACATGGTGAGTTTGGGCAACCCCGCCTAACTCCAGTGCTTGAATGAAACAATAAAGAAAGGTGGTTGTATGCCCTCACTCTCCCTGATAACTACAACTGAACGTAAATATTGGCAATATTTGGTCTTTAAAATGCTTGAAATCAAAAAAATTATCTACTATCAAACTAAAAAATGAATTCAATATGATGCTTAAGTTAAACTACAAAAACATCCCTGCTGCTGGTGCAAATTTTCAATTTCTTAATATGATTTAATGCATAGTCAAAAGTGCTTCGTGAAGCTAGAAAGTATTCTCCTACTCTAGTCCCCACCTTACATTCCAACCCCAAGTTTTGTGAAGGTAAAGGTGACAGTGTATTGCATCATAGATGATGTCAGTTCGTAATGAATACTCTAACCCTTATTTTTAAACCCATCTCAAAAGTCCAGCTTAACACTTAATACTTAACCATTATGCATAACTGATATCAATTGTTGACAATAACTTTATTGGGTGATAACCCTAACTCACAACACTAGCCCGACTTCTAATATGCATAACTTAATGTTTTTCTTCTATTGCAAAAAAATAACTTAACATATAAGGTTGATGATTTAGATCAAATCTATTATTCCAATATTATCACATTACTTTTTAGTAGACTGATAGGTTCTCGGGTTCCAATCCTGTGAGGCGGGGTCGTGGATGCGCACTGCTGAGGAGTCCCACAATAGGACGAAACGGCCGTCCAGTGCTTCCAGGTTTTCCATGGTGGTCTAGCTCCAACTGACTCATAATCTCAACTGTTGATATTACTTTATGTTGATAATTGTTTCGTAACTAGGTAGCGCTTCTTGACTAGTTGATAGATCGTTAGTTTACTACACTGTTATCAACATATTTATGCCGAGTTGTTGAACACGTACTACTTTAAGTTATGTCTACTGATTTTAATTGTTATATGGTATTCAAAAAAAGATCTCAAAAATTTTGATTAACCAATATCTATTTGAATTCAAAAGTTAATTGAAGCTAGACCACCATGGAAAACGTCGAAGCACTGGACAGCCATTTCGTCCTAGTATGGGATTCCACAACACTGCCCATCCACGATCCCGCCCTCTGGATTCGAACCCGAGATCTATCGGTCTTTCAGGTTTTCCATGATAATCTAGCTTCAATCGACCCATGAATTCAACTATTAAATTACTATTATATCCACAAAACCCCTCTCTGATTATAATCATCATATGTTCATTAGTGACAGTCTTCAATAAGTATTTCCTGGAGTTCTAGTGAGAAATCATGACCAGTAGAGTTCAGTTGAGTCTGTTGTGAAATAGTAACTCACTGAAGACAATGGTGGGTGGTGGCTCAATTTCATGGATTAGTTGAAGTTGTACATTAATACCGTTACAATGCCGGCCGGCTTAGTAATGTAGAGATTAAGTCCCGGGTTCGAGTCTCGCGATGAGGTATCGTGGATACGCACTCCTGAGGGGTTCCGTACTAGGACGAAACGGTTTTCCAGTGCTTCCATGTTTTACATGATGGTCTAGCTTCAATTGACTCGTGAATTCATCTACTAACTGTACTATAATATCCACGAAGCTCCTCTCTAATGATAATATTTACTTCTTAATTTAAACTTACTTTAAACATTCCTTCAGCTTCATCTCGTCCAACATGCCATGCTTCTTGTAATATACGATATGATGCTTGTGATATAAAACCGCTATTATCAATTTCTATAGCTTTAAAAAATGTCCATCCGAATTGATCAATTTCATGACGATATTCACCATTGATCATTTCTCTCATATTGTGTACAAATTCAATTTCACGAATTTCATCTAAATGTTCCCCTGAAACAAACAAAAAATGTAAATATAATCACAAGACTATGAATTATTGGTTATTGAATAGTAGTTATCAATGCTATCCTTCTCAAGTTTTTATCTGTTGATATGCCAGGTATTCACTGGTCTAATTGAAATATTCTCGTTGTATCATCTTCTACTGTCATAATGACCCTCAAATGTCCTGGTACGGCCGAGAATAGGGAAAGTCAGCTTTCCCTCTCGAAATACTCTCACATCGCCATGTGCATACAACCAATGACAGAGAAGTCTTACTCACTGCATTTTCGCGGCATCGATCGATGTTAGACCACCATTAAAAACCTGGAAGCACTGGATGTCCATTTCGTTCTAGTATGTGACTCCTCAGTAGTGGGCACCCACGATCCCGCACGTGGTATACGAATATATATATATATATCAAACAAAACAGTCGCACAGTATTGTGGATTGATTGAAATTATATTTGTACAACATTGGATGTCAACTCAGTTGTCTGAAGATTAGACGTTAACGTACCGTGCCGATGATTTTGGGTTCGTAGATGTGCGCGACTGACGGGTCCCATACTAGGACGAAACGGCTAATCAGTGCTTCCAGGTTTTTGATATCCAACTGAATTAGATCGGTTCATGATTTCAATAGAAGACGAAGTGTATCAGCTATTGTCTCGATCTTCATATTTAATGGTGCAGTATTGTGGCGTATGTTACTTATGTTTGTAATTAATGTTATATCTGGAAGGTTGTTCTTGACATACCGCGTATAACGTGAGCACTAAAATGCCAGGAACCTTCCAAGTCGCAATGAGAAGATAGAAGACTAATGAAGAGAATATTATTCCCAAACAGTGCCAATTATAATACAAAATTGTCAGGTACTTATAGTTTTTAGTAAGAAAGAAATCATCATTATAGTCCTCCAATCCGCATACAGGGGGTTACTAGCACTGTCCAATCGGAAAGCTACACGTAGGAATCCTGGAATATTCTTCCAAAAGGTGATTGGATGGAATATCTTTGGCTCCTTGTAAGCCTCCTACAGCTTCCTCGGGTTCACCCGTGGTCCATCGTCACAGTTAAAAATAGTATGTAACACCAGTCAGGAAAGTGAAATGTCTGCGAATAGCAGGTTGAGAAGATTGAAATAAAGAGAAGAGAGAAAGAAACTGGAAACAATCAAGGCAAAAACAGGAATGAAGGGACAATAAAGCTTGTAATTCAAGGTTGTGTAAATGATGTGTTTGATATATGATTTTAACATTTTATTAAATCACTGTGTGATTATGCTTCCAGGTTTTCAACGGTGGTCTAACATCGATCAATCCATGTTCTCGATTAATAAGTCAGTAATCTCCACAACCCCATATTGATCACTATACAATGAATTGGTGTTTCTCATCTGACTATACGTTCACTACAGTATTACTGCTTACTTATAATTAGCCTGACTGTGTGTTTCCTTCCACAGATGTGAGGACGGTCCACGGGTGAACTCGAGGAAGCCCTAAGAAACTCAGGAAGAGAAGAAGATATTCCATCCAACCATATTTTGAAAGAATATTTCAGAATCCTTATGTGTAGCTTCCCTATTGGATAAATGCTAATAACCCCCTGTATGCAGATTGCAGGACTATGATGATGTTTTCATTTACTTGACAGTTTTGTACCATAATTGACATTGTTTGAAATAACGTTCCTTTTACTTTTCTTCTGTTTTTTTCATTTGAGACTTAATGGGTTATAGCTTTCGAGTTGCTCAAGTTATACGTGGTATATTATGAATCTAATCTCTAGATATAACAACTGACGACGAAGATCGGATTCGAACTCACGTGGGGAAACCCTGAATGGGGTTAATTCATCTTCACTTATACCAGTCTTTATGTTTCTTATATCCGAGTGAAGATTAAATCATGAGTAACTTCTGAGACCTATTAATTGACTAATACTATCTATACATTCTTATGGTATGACTATTCAATAATTAGATTATGTATATTTATATTCCTCTTATTATAAGCTTTATTTTGACCTATAATTTATTATTGTACGATTTACTGTTCTTAAGCTATGTTCAGTTCATTGACTACTGCCTCCCACGTTCACAGTCACTTTTTGGCTTTATTGTATACAAATGTTATTTCCGATTTTATGGTGCGTTGCGGTCTGTTTGGTTGATATATGAATCCAGTATGTCTGAGATAAATTATTCAATTCGATTCGATTCGCATATTGAGAGCTGGTATTTTGCATTCTGGACTCAAGTGGACGAGCTAGGTGAACATAGGACCAATAAGGACACCAGACTGTTCATACCGATCGAATGTCATTGGTTTGGCACAGTGCTAAGATTGTATAAGTTGTATTTTGATTGGTGGATAAATCACGTGATAAAAAGCCGGACATAAAGTCACAACAATGGTGTTATTTTCAACATAACAATCAGCGATGATCAGATATGTCAACAGAAACGTTTGAATTATTTCAGCGGATGTTCCTTTAGATACAGGCAAATAAGTCGAATATCAGAAACTATTCCATAGTGAACTGATTATTTAAAGAAATTATTTATTGTGTAATTATTATTAGAAATTGTAATTCCCTATTTGTGATGTAATTGATGCAATTGATGAAATATTATTATGTAAGATTTTTGAGTTATTATGTTTTGATTAGCCATTGGGTAAACAAGGAGCTGAATGTAATAATTAGTGATATTATATCCGACTATTATTGGCTAATATTTATTGGTTAAAATAAAAGTCCTACATCGGTGAGAGCAGTTTTACTCTATGCCAGTGAGACCTGAACTCTCCGAGTTGAAGATGTTAGATGACTCTCTGTGTTTAATCATCGTTGTCTCCGAAGGATTACTGACATCCAGTGACAATACCATGTTGGTAATGCAGAGGTTCAGCATCGTGTGTTCGGGCACAGAGATGATAATCCAATTGGTGTCACTATCTTGAAACGTCGACTTCAGTGGATTGGACATATTTTACGAATGTCATTGCAGAGAATTCCACATCGTGCATTATTTACCGACTCTGGGACTGGTTGGAAAAATGGGAGAGGTGGTTAGTGTATGACATGATGTCGTGTTATGAAATAAAGCTGAACAGGATTGGCTTCCGTTGGTCCTTCACGACTCCTTGGTTGGGTTCCTAGAGATGATGCAACACAGTGGCTAGAGACGTTATCAGATATGGTTCAGAATAGAAGCCAGTGGCGATCCTGTTGAAACCTTCTTTTACTTTCTTCATAAAAAGTGACCGTAACTTCTTTAACTGAAAGAATTCTTTCTGGTTGTACCTTTCTATTTCCCCCATTATTGTTATTATTATAATTTCACTGCCGTACATTAATTTGTGGTCGTTATTGTTCTGTTTTTCTTTTCACACGTACCTTACATTCTCTATCTCTTCCCATTCTCATTATTATTGTGTAGAGCATATGTATTTGGTGTCCTCTTGTACCAATATTTATGTGTTCAAATAAATAAATAAATAAAACATTAATGGTCTCTACAATCTACCAGGCGCTATATAAGAATATAACAGAGGAATTTATAACATTTTTATGTTATTTAACAATCTTGAAACTTCATGAAAGATGCCTAACTAACAAATTCCATGTTTTGTGGTGGGCGTACTACTCATATGGACAGATATAAGTAGTATGTGACGGTAATTGAAAGGGAAATGTCTGGCAGTAGAAGGTTAAGAAGATCAAAGAAAAAAGAAGGGGAAGAGAGGATTTTTGGTGTAGAAACGAAAGAGCATTGAAGTATGAGACGATTGATTGACATTTTGCAAATGAAGCATTTACTGTATGATTCTCGGATTTTAGTCAGATTCTGTATTTAGCAGTCATTTATAAACATCTGTAAATTTTAATGAACACTAATGGATTCATGAAATCTCTTTACATTCCTGAAAACATAAATGGTTTATGAATTCCATGATAATCACTTTTTGTTTCACTAACGGATAGAGAAACATGCGAAGGGTGGAGTTTTGTTCTCTGAGCTGGATGGTTTGGTTGTGGAGCTTTCTTCGTTCTTCTGAACGACATCATCAGCACAAACTTCAGATAGAAGGTTGTGCTGATGATGTCGTTCAGAAGAACGAAGAAAGCTCCACAACCAAACCATCCAGCTCAGAGAACAAAATCATCCACCTGAGCTACAAATCTTCTCCACCATCTCATTGTCGACTACCTCCAACCACCATCTAATAGCAATATATAGTGCACGCAGTGTCGAGTCACCTAGACTGGTGGCCACATTGCAACATGATCGATAGCATTCGATCTGCACTAAAAAGGACTAGACAAGCATGACATTGATCACCACCCAGTGATCAATCAATTGTGATTACATCTCAGTCCTACAGGAGGTCAGTTGCGGCCTGGATAGCTCAGTGATAACGTCTCTGACTGTGAAGCTGGGTGACACGGGACAGAATCCGCCAGGGAGCACCAGTTCCCTCAAGATTAGAGGTACACCTTGCTGACGAGTGCCAAGTAGCACGAAACTCGGTTCCAGGCTTTCCTGTTGACTACCTCCAACCACCATCAAATGGACTGTTATTGTATATATTCTGATTGCATAACCATATTATTATTGTAGCGTCGGTTACTATGTTAAGCCCATATAACTTCTTCTAGCTTCCGGACAGGGCAATCTACTCAGTGTGATATTTTGCCCGGTAAATGTCAGTCAGTCAGCATCAACGTAGAACTTCGTACGTACATATGTACATTTGTTCAAGTTGCCATACTACATTAGCACAGAGATACAATTGTCGATTCAAATCCCGTAGTGATAAAGGTAGTAAAAGTATAAGAAGTAGTCGGAAAGATTAGGGTTTGTAGATGCTATTCAAGTAGTATAGTACAGGGAAATAAGTTTGGGAAGAGAAAAAAATGGAATATAAATAATTGAGATTAGAATTCAGGAGAACACAAAGAGTGGATGCACCTGTACCGATGCAAATGATTTTGAGCCATGTCATTCAACGTCTCTAACCATCGGTTGCTATCACCCCGCGGATCCCAATCAGATGGGTTTACACCTACCAACATGGCTCAGTCTACTTGTCAGTGACTTCATGGATTTGTGGCATGTGTTTGGTCCTTATCCGTTAAAACATTAATTTATTTGAGTTTGATGTTTGTTCATGATTCAATATTCTTGTATTAAATGAACATGGACTTTGCTCAACATGACACACGGCACGTAATTTGTTATAACTCTGGGTATTTCTCATTAATGTGTACAATCGAACCTGAGATACCTAGACTCTTAGCTTGGGATACTATTACTAAGCTGTTCGTGCCATGAACAACCAACTATAGAGCTGAGATATTCATATTTATTGATCACTGAGCAGTAATCAATACAATGATTATCCAATCCTTTAGAATTGATCGTATTCTGTCGATTAAGGTACAACCCGTCCACTAATCTAAGTGACTAGACACCACATGGACTATGTGTTTTTTTTTCATATTAGATATTTGAAGATAATTGGCTGTTGATTCCTTGTCTTTGTGAATCTGTTAATAAGGCATTACTGCATTGATAACACGTTATTAGCTTACTTTTTCTCATTACAGACGTTATCCACAAATACTTAGTACCAAATATTCTATCCATTAATGAGTTCATTCGAGTACACTATTCGGCTTGGCTGTAAAGAGGTTGAAATAGGTTTGTTTGAAGCTCAAACACAAGTCATTCAATTAAAAAGAAATATGCATTCAAAACCATTTACAAAGTAAATAGGAGGCTGACAAAGGTAGTTGTATTCCTTCCTCTTAACATTGCTGAAGCAACTGCTAACTACTTGGAAAAATCAGAACTATGTGTCTAGAAAAAACTAGTACAACCTCATGTTCCACCGTGGTCTTAATCTCTCGCAATCTTTTTTCTCTTTTTTTTCTTTCCCATAGCCATCTGCTTCCCTTCTACTTTCAATTCTGCAGACGTCTTATCCCCCCCCAACAATTGATTTGTTCCTATCCCTATGATTCTCTTGACGACAATTCCTCTAAATTTCAACATTTTATCTTGTCATACTGAACCTTTTCTTCTCAACTATAATTCTGTATCTACCTTCATAATGAGTAACTGAATTCTCAACAATCGTATTATTATTATTATCAGAATGGGTTTTGTGGAGATTTTTAGAAATTTCACTGGTTGTAATTAATTCCGTTATTCACTAACGAACTCTGCGCACCGCTGAGGAGTCCCATACTAGGACGAAATGGAGGTCCAGTGCTTCCAGGTTTTCCATGGTGGTCTAGCTTCAATTGACTCATGATTTCAACCAGTGAAATTTCTAAAAATCTCCACAAAACCCATTTTTATAATAACAATCACCTGCTCACTAGTGACAGACTTCAGGAGACACTCCTGGAGTTCTAGTGAAAAATCGTTACCAGTGGAGTTCAACCAGGTCTATTGTGAAATATCAACTCACTGAAGACAATGGTGTACGGTGGTGCAACTTCGTGGATTGGTTGAAGTTAGACATTAACACCATTGGATGCCGGTAGGCTCAGTGGTCTAGTTGGTTAAGCGCTTGGCGCGAGACTGATAGGTCCTGGGTCCGAATCTCGCGGGGTGCGGGATCGTGGATGTGCACTGCTGGGGATTCCCATTCCGGGACGAAACGGCCGTTCAGTGCTTCCAGGTTTCCCATGGTTGTCTAGCTTCAATTGACTCATGATTTCAACCGGTGAAACCGTATTATTATTAGTTCCTTCTTTACTTATTTTACCTCATTTTCATTATGTTTAGTAAAATTTTAATTTCACAATTATTGTAATGAACAAAGACGAATATGGGCAACTAATCATGAACATGGCCACCAGAATGAACTGAATTAATCCTTGTGTAATAACCATGAAGTAGGGTATAGGGATAATGTTCATAATGAGAATTAATGCTCTACAATTAAACCATTCAGCTCAGAGGACTAAACAATACCGAAACCAACTACCTAAGATCTAAACTTTTCTCCATCATTCTAATGATTAGTATGTACATTTAAATATTAGAGCTTATGTGAACGTTTGGGTTACATATTTTCCAAATGCTCAAATAATGTGTTTATCAAAAGAGGGTTTTGTGAAGATTTTAGTAATTTAATAGTTGAATTCAGAAGCTGATTAAAGCTAGATCACCTTGGAAAACCTGGAAGCACCAGACGACCTTTTCATTCTAGTATGAAACTCCTCAGCAGTGAGCATCCACGATCCCGCTCACGGGATTCGAATCTAGGAGTAAATGAATAATTGAAGTTGATCAATTTTGAGGGGGGAGGCATTTTTGGGGGAATCATTATTTATATGTTCTTTTAATATACGGGATCGGATGCGTCAGGTAGTATCAGTTCCCTCAAGATTACAGGTACGACTTTCTGACGAGTGCCAAGTAGCATGAAACCTAGGTCTAAGGTTTCCTGTTGACCATCTCCACCTACGATCTTATCTCAACATAGTATATGCAATGTCAAGTCACCTAGACTAGTGGCCACATTGCAACTTGGACTACAGGATTCTATCTGCACTAAGAAGGACCTGATACACATAACATCGATCACCACCCACTGATTAATCAGTTGTAAATACGTAAACTTTTGTTGTTGACACTATCAACCTTATGAAACACTATAAAATAAACGTTGAAATTGAATATCACATGACGTTAGAACTTATATACATTAACGTTAGTGAGACATTACTCCCCACTGGGGAACTTAAATCTGTCCAAACCACTAACAGCAATAAACAAATGGATTAAAACACAATTTGTAGTTAAGAGATTTCCTGACATCATTAAAATAAAAGCTAAATATTTATATTACATTATATTCTGAAGGTGGTCTTCGGTACGAATTCTTTACAATCGAGGCTGTATCGAAAACCAGAGGTGACTGAATATGTGCTTTATTCCAGCACGAGACTGACCTATAATGCATAGTCACAATCTTATTACGAATCTAGGAACCATTCTCAAGTCATCAGCTGATGAACCATGACTTCAAGAACTCATACAAGAATGAAAGAGGCTATCCATTGACCCCCGTATTTCAGTAGTATCTCAAATAAGAAAATACCAGCATAAGTTATCTTAGGGAAACTAGTAAGTATTAAATAATCTGAAACCATATAGAAGTAAGGTATGCAAAAAAAATAATAATAATGTCACAGATTGGTGTATTCCAAAGACTTAACCTATACAACGTCATTAGTATCCGTAATAATTATTGTTTCCTTGGATAGCTCTTTTGTTCTAGTGTAAAACTTTTCTATATTCTGTACTGCTTCAGAAATCGAACCCAAGTTGTTCAGATCTCATAGCATAATTTATATTATTATTTATTTATTTATTTGAACAGATAAATACATTTGTACAAAGGGGCACTGAATACATATGCGCTATACAAGTCACTTGATTTGTATGTGGGCTGTGATACTAACTGGGTACCCAAAGGGAAACAGGTGGTATTCTTAAGGCTCACACCGCAAAGCCTTTGACCTAAAGGTCTGATCCACAAGGTAGTGGAATAACGTAAGGAGATGCAGTCCCATAGTAGCCAGTGACTAACAATTGGTTCATACACCATTTGTTCCTTCAGGATCCGGAAGCCCACGTGCACCATTGATTTAAAACGAGGCTTTCCTAACTCCTCTAGGTCGATCCTCCATATCCACCAACCCAATTAAAGCGTCGGACATTCACTTTTCATCCTCTCAATTTCATAAAGAACCATCTGGCCACAAGAAGGCTGTATCTCCTCATTTCTGCAGTAATTTGGAAGACTCTCTCGGTCTCCCACATTGTACCTAAATAAATGGTTGCTCTGGTTGTCAAAAGGGGCATCGACCTCGTGACGTCCGAAGGAACCCGGCTTTCATCATGAGGTGTCATAGTTCTTCTAAACGAAGACCTTCTGACTCCTAGGGTAGAGTTTTTTTAACAAAGTTGTTTTCTACAGGATGGGGTCGCTAACCCCATCCCCAACCCTCCTCCTTTATCCGGGTTTGGGACTGGCAGTAGCTCACGGAGGGACTCCAGGCGGAGTTCCACAAGAAGGTAGTGAGTAGGATTTCTTTATCACTTCCCGTATACGCGTTGACATATGAGAGTATTTCGAGAAGGAGAGCTGTCTCTCTTCACTCTCAGTCGTACTAGGCTATTTAAGGGGCCAAGTACTGATCGAACCCAACGTGATTAGACAAGAACCAATGTTTTTAAACTTCATATGGTTACCAACCAACTGGTATAATCGAACCCATATTATCCAAATCCGTTAGTTTATTTGTATCTAGGACGATTGTTCAATCAATAATATAACATATTGATCAGAGATCAAATTTAAAAACACACAACAACGAAAAATCAATAGAGACTTACCATTTTTATCGATTGCCAAAAATTTCACCCATATATTTAACATAGCCCGCATTACAGCATCAGCACGTCGTCTATCTAAATGTGCACGTTGTATTAAAAATTGTCCAATTTGTAATAAATCATGACATTTTAATTTCATTGTTTCATTTATATCTAAACGTCTATACATAGTACGTATTTTACCTTCCCATACAGGACCACAATCAATTGGACCATAATCTTCAGCACGTTTATAATTAATTAATGGTCCCCATAATTTTATAATATTACTATTTATATTATCTGACATAAAATAATCAATAAAAATTTTTTGAAAATTTTCTTTATTTAATTTATTATTTTTATCACTATAGTAACGAAATAATAATTCACAATCTTTTGGTATTGATTTCCATGCAATCATTAATGTTTGAAATTCTGTACTTGTTATATAATTATCATCATCTTGATCCATAGCAACAAATAATGGTAGAATAAATTTTTCATTAAAATATTGATAAAAATCATTATGAAATGCATTTAATAAATTATCAATAAATGTATTTTCATTAATATTCATTGTAGTTGCTAATTGCCTAGATACATGAGTACATAATACTTGATACCATAAATAAACTAATGTTTTAACTAATTCATCATATTTATATGATAACATTTTAGGATAAATATTAAATATTGTTGTACCAATATCTAATAAATCATCAATCATTAAATAACCATGTCCACATGAATCAAGACGACGAAATAATGTACGCATTTTACGTAACCATATTGGACTACCAGTTACTTCAGGTAAATCAGTTGTCATTCTGTTGTTGTTGTTGTTGTTGTTGAAGGTGTTGTTGTAACTGTGTTTAAATGAACTGTGAAACTTTGAAGATGAATCGAATATATATATATATATATATATATATATATATATATATATATATATATATATATTCAAGTATTTATAAAGATTATCCATAATGATAGAAACCAATTGAATGAAAAGTAATAGTTACCACCTACGTATATCTCCCCCTAAAATTTAATATTCAAGAAAATTAATACTTGCATGTACGCACACATACATTTAATTCCCACATACACACACGCACATATGCACGTACATACAAAAGATGAATCAATAAAATGTGTACGTTGGATACTATTTTAACTTCTTCTTCTTTTTCCTTTTCATTATTGTATGAAATCGAAATGTTCCATTGAATATAACAGTATGTCATGTTGAATATTGTTCACTACTAGCCACTATCCATCTTTGCCAATAATAATGCTTGTGAATTAAGGCAATATCGAGGCAATACGCACAGTATGCACATATGCCAATAAGGGACTGATCAATTTCACTTCTAAAACATCAATGGGAAGATTCAAGTAAAACAATAATATCAAGTGAATTATTCTTCAATGAATGTTGGAACTTTAATTTGACACTATTGAAACAAAATGAAGTTGAGTGAATTCCTTAATGTGTTTGTGTGTGTGTGTAGGTGTGTGTAGGTGTGTCTGTATATTCATGTTGACTATGCAAAAAAAGAAAAAAAGAAAAGAGAAAAGGGATTGTGAAATTATAGTGAAGGGATAGTTAGATATTTGTGTGTGAATTTAGTTTTCTGTTCCCTTTTTAAAATGAAAATGAAAAGGGATTTACACAAATTGATTTCCTTTATCGTGTAACTTTAAAGATACGAGACATTTTGAAAAATAAGGAAAAGTTGTATAGCTCTAAGGCAGAACTGTTCGAAACACCGAAAATTATCGTCTTGGTAACTATCTGTCCAATTTCAGTTAGTTTGAGTGATTGACATTAATTGGTAACGATGATGATTGTTTCACTATAGATGTGGTTAACTTCACCCCACCCCACCCCACCTCCCGTCTTTTTGGTTATAACATCTCAAAAGAAGTAAATTCGCTTGGTATTGGTTGTTTGAATATTCCTATTGATGTTTAGTACTGCAATTGATCAGTCTCTTATTGGCATATATACATACCGTATGCATTGCTTCACTTAGCCTTAATTCACGAGCATTATAAGCAAAGATGGATAGTGGTTAGCAGTGAAATTCAGGACTCACGTTTCAACTTATTTGGGACTCGTCAGCTGGAAGTACCTGCATCTCAGGGTTAATGATCACTCTGGGGCTCGAAATCAGTAGTGTTCGCTTCAAACGCCACCACGTTACCAACTTAACTACTGAGTTCTGATAGTCATCTTTGTTTATAATGCTTGTGAATTAAGGGAATATCGAGGCAATACGCACAATACGCACATATGTCAATAAGAGACTGATCATTTGCAGTCCTAAACATCAACGGGAAGATTCAAGTTAACAATACCAAGTGAATTTAAACTTCACTCCATTGCACAAGTATGTGGCTAACAGGAATCAGTAGCTAAGATGGTAACGCGTTGGCATTTGAAACGAGCAGTGCTGATTTCGAGCCCCAGAGTGATCATCAACTCTGAGATGCAGGTACATCCAGCTGACGAGTCTCAAATAGGATGAAACGCGCATCCTGAATTCCATTGTTAGCCACCATTCATTTTTGCATTTCAAAAAAACGTCAAGAATTCAACTCTGTGTTAGGTATTGATGAATTCATTTTCATTATTGTTTGTTTCAGTGAATTGTAGGAAATAGTTCACTACAAATTTTCATTTCGGTTAGAAGAAAAAAACAAGTATAAATCAGTTTCTGTGAATGCCAACTGTTCAATAATTTACTAACCACAACACTAAACCGAACTATCTATATTCAGTAGTAATGACTTTATCTGTGACAGTGAATGGTGTAGGTTTGAATTTACAGGAAGCATTACTTCCTTCAAGACTAAAAGTGTACCTTTTTGATGATTGTCTGACCTAGATCCATTCGATTTGCATGTGACTACATCCAATCATCTAATGTCAACTGAATAATTGAAAAGAACATTTTGTATTAAATAAAAAGTACAAATGAAACAAGATGTGGTTATAGAATAATGTTCTTAACACACAAAAAATTACTAAGTAATATTCATCACGGACTGATCTCAGTTAGGGTATCAATAAAACCATGGAGCACTGAGTAGCTGTTTTATCTTGGTATTCAACTCCTAAGCAGTGACATTACATCATCCCAACAGGGATTAAACCAAGAAGTTTCAGACCTGACTGCGAGGTCTGCAATCAATTCTGAATATCGAGCGATTCACACACTCTACTAGTGTCGTGGGTACGGACCGTGTAAGGGAATCACATACACACGAAAAAGTCGTTCTGTGCTCTTTAGTTTTCAATGATACTCCAATTGTTCATCTAGGGTATGAGGTCAGATTAGCGGTGATACTTATATTTTGATTGATCTGAGAATGTTCACCACACTGAATTAGTTTAACCTTGGCGCTGTTTGCCTTCTTATTTGATTGTCAATTAAGAAGTATCGGTGTGAGGTTGTGGAGATTGTTAATTTTTTGATTGAGATCATCAATCGATCAATCTTAGACCACAATGGATGCCTGATTTGTCTCGGTATGGGACTCCTCAGTAGTGCGCATCGACGATCCCACCGCGCAAGATTCGAACTCAGAACCTTCAGTCTCGCGCGCGAACGCTCAATCTCTAGACCACTGAGCCGACCGGCATTCATAGATGTTAATGTTTAACATTAACCAATCCAGAAATTTGTGCGAACATCTTCTATTGTCTGAGGCAAATACTTACCTCTACCTGACACGAATTAACTCTACTGATTACTAGAACTTCAAGAATTCCTTCACAAAGCTAGCCACTAGTGAGCGCATAGTAATTATCAGTCTGGGGTTGTGGAGATTGTTAGGCTACTCATACCGGTCGAACGTCATTGGTTTGGCACAGTGCTAAGATTGTATAAGCAGTATTCCGATTTGCGAATAAATTAAGTGATAATTAGCCGGGTTTAATGTCACAGCAGTTTACTGTAATAGAAATTTACTCTTTTAATTCTTAGGAAATAATCCATTAAAATATTATGATCATTTATTATTAACGAGTGGTATTTCATCATGAAACTGACCATTAGAAGCTTTTTAAGCAAAGATGGATAGTGGCTAGAAGTGGAATCCAGGACGCGCATTTCGTCCACTGCTAACCACTATCCATATCTGCTTAAAAAGCTTGTGACTTAAGGCTATATCGAGGCGATCCGCACAGGATCCACATATGCCAATATGAGACTGATCAACTGCAGTTCTAAATAACAATTGGAAGATACAAGTAAAACAACACAAAATGAATTTGACCATTAGAAGTTGATATATATATTCAATTAGAGATGGTTAAAACAGACAAATGACCATTACAATATCCAAATAATTTTTATGATATTGTCGGTTAAAACAAGACTTGACTGGTTAATAAACAAAGATAGACATATTCAACAATGTAAAATATATAACACAATATACTAATGTAAACACTGGTAGGACAGCTTCCAAGAATTACGACGGAGCCTCCAGAGGCCTTAAAGGAGCCGAAGAGTTTCTATCTAATCAGAACCTGATAGGGTTTTCTAGAATATCAACGTGGCATGCTACGATTGGACAGTAGCATAACTTGCCTCTCTACGGATTGGCTAAATTATAATGATGTTATAACAAACCCTATTATTATAAATACCCACGATTTTCTACACATCTTGATTGTTACCCAACAAACACTTCTCCAGTTTTCTTCTGTCTTCTGGTTTTGAGACTGTGGGAGTTCTAAACGTTCGAATGCCGTAGTTATATACCGTATTCTGTGTTAATCAAGTAGCGAACATAACAAATGCCTTCCATTGTTGATTCCTACTAGAATTTCATAGTGCTGTCACACATCGTTATTCGATTTAAGTAACGGCTGGAAAACAGTCCGGGTACCCAAACCGAAACAGGTGACTTCCTTGGCGGGTCACTCCCTAAGCCTTTCATCAAAGGTCTAATCAACAAGGCAGTGGAGCAAACTTAGGAGATGTAGGCCCATCGTAGCCGGTAACCAATAGTAGGTTGACACATGATTTATTTCTTCAGGATCCTGGAGACCATTTACACCACTGGTTTAGAATGAGGGTTTTCCAACTCCTTAGATGGATGTTCTGTATCCATCAATCCGGTTTATGCACCAAATATTCGCTTTTCATCCTCTTAATTTTGTAAACATCCTCTCAGCTAAAAGGCAATGATTAGCAACTCCCTGTCAGTGTCTGTATATGCGTAGCTATGCAAGAGCATTTCGAGAAAGAGAGCGAACGTACTAGGGCATTTAGGAACTTATAATCTGTCTAGTTTAATCTAGAACTAGAATTCCAATATTCTTTCATAGATACTTTTTCAATCCATACTCCCATCATTTAGTCTTTCTATTTAAGATTGTGTATTGTATTATTACGGCTAGTTTATTATTCATACATCTTTTTAGTTTCATCATATTGTAATTAATTACATTATACCAAAGGTACATTTGTACTAGTCACTATATTCATTCTGACTGACTACATAAAGCTTATTGATTATTCATTGCACTATATAACTATAAATCATTGTAATTACTTTCTGTTCCTCTCTCGCTCGCTTGCTCCTTAAACTAACCACATATATTACTTATTCTATAAAAAGAAATCAAGTAAATTGTTTATCTGAATAAAACAGACTACTTTTTTGGGAGCGGAAGGGGTGTTTTCCAACTACTTCGTATGTACTTCATTCATTCGTTCGTTCGTTCGTTCGTTCATTCGGTCATTGTAAAGTATCTCCTGATTTCTGTGCTTATAAAATATATGAAATCTATCATATATATAATACTGAATGAAAATAAGGTAGTTTAAGAAAGGTTAGATTCAAATGGTTTCTTTATATAGTTCATAGTTGTTTTGTTTTGATTTGGTTTGGTTTGGTTTGGTTAATGAATCAAAATGAATTGACTGATTCGAGATATATAAATAGATAGAGAGATATAAACTATGTTTTTGGAATAAATAAAATGGATTCAGTAATGTAT